GGGTGTGATATCTGAATGGCAAAAGAATGATGTTGTAGTTTTACCTTTGGATAGGGAGTTCTAAGATGTCATTGAGGGTCAGTCTGATGACCGTGTTATTACACCAGTAACAAATCGGTTCCAAAGTTTGGCTGTTAAATTTTTTGCAGTGGGGGATATTATTGTTGGTAGTCTTGTTCTTAGTAATATGGAGGAATTTCCTGTGTTGGAGGCTGTTGAGAAGGGTAAAGGAAAATAGGGTAAAAAAGGGCATGGCAGGCCTGCAAAACCTAAAAGCAAGAAATGATAGTGCTCTGGCTTGGAACATAAGGGGATTTAATCACCCCAACAAGCAGCAGCAGATCCTAGAAGTGGTATCTCGGTATAATGTAGATGTGTTTGGGGTGATTGAAACAAGGGTGAAGGAAGAAAATTCCAAAAAGATAGTGGCATTGAAGTTTGATAGATGGGAGTTTGCTCATAACTATGAGTATTCTAATTTAGGGAGCCTATGGGTGTTCTGGAAGAAGGATGTGGATTTCATAGTGTTAGAAAGGTCTGACTAGTTCGTTTATGGTGAAATCAGAGTGGATAGTACTGTAAAAATAATGTTTGTCTATGGTTTAAATGACGAAGGTGAACGAAACAGAATGTATCATCACCCTATCCTCAAGCCAGAGCCTCTTCCGTGGCTAGTGCTAGGTGATTTCAATGCTGTAAAATGTGTTACTGAAGCTTCAAATAATCCAAGAAGGAATCAGAGTATGGAATTGTTTGGCACTTTGATCAATGACATGGAATTGGATGATAGCAGTTTTGAAGGTCCTTGGTTTTCCTGGACGAACAGACAAGATGGGAACCTCATTGCAAGGAGGATAGACAGGGTTCTAGTAAATTCGAGTTGGATAGCTGCATTTCCACATTATGTGGTTAAGTTGCTTATTCCTGGGCTCTCTGATCATTGTGGCATGATTGTTAACTCTGACTCTCTCATTGCTACCTAACCTAAACCGTTTAAGTACTTCAGCAACTGGGAATCTCATCCTATGTACAAGCAGATAATAAATGAAGTCTGGAATAAGATCTTTACTAGTACTCCTATGTTTATAGTGTACCAGAAGCTGAAGGAAGTTAAGAGACAGCTGAGGAAATGGAATAGGGATTTCTATTCTAACATTTATGAGAGGGTAAGAAACAAGAAGAGGAAAATTGAAACTCTACAATTGACAGCTCTACTACATCCTTCCCTTGACAATTTTCAAGCAGTAAATGCTTGTCAATCTCTACTTCATGACCTGCTCAAAGATGAAGAATATATTTACAGGCATAAATCCAGACTGTTGTGGGTAAAAACTGGGGACCGCGACACCTCTTTCTTTCATAACTCTCTGAAGGCTAGAAAAACTCGGTCTACTATTACAAAAGTAGTAACTGAGGATGGTACAGTTCTAACAGATATGCAGGATATGTGTGGGAAGCAGTCAAGTTTTATCACAATCTGCTAGGGACTAAGAATCCAGAAGTAAAATGGGCAGCAAGTGATTTGGTCTCTCAACTACTCATTCATCATCTTCCCTCTGATCAAGCTGTGTCTCTGTGTGCACCAGTAATCAGAGCAGAAGTCAGAGTTGCCATGTCCTCTATGAATGGAAAATAATCCCCTGGCCCTGACTGGTTTACAGTAGGGTTCTACTAGCATAACTGAGAAATTGTGGGAGAAGATATAACAAAAATTGTTCTGGATTTCTTCAGGACTGGGAAACTACTAACTAAGGTAAACTCTACCTATTTAGCACTTATTCCTAAGGTGTTGAATGCTGAATGCATGAAACAATTTATACCTATATCATGCTGCAATATTCTGTACAAGTGTGTTGCAAAAGTCCTTGCTAATAGGTTAAAAGAAGCTTTACCCCTAGTTATTAGTCAAAATCAATCTGCATTCATAAAAGGGAGATTGATAAGTGATAATGTGTTACGGGCTCATGAGATGGTTAGGTTATATAACAGGAAAATAGTGTCTCTAAGGTGTGCATTAAAAGTAGATGTAATGAAGGATTTTGACAGTGTGGATTGAACTTTGGAAACAGTCTTAGTTGCTATGAGATTCCCTAGTAAGTTCATTGGATGGATCAGGGTCTGCTTGCAAATCACAAAACTAAGTGTCTGTTTCAATGGGGGTCTTTGTGGATATTTCTCAGCCATGAAAGGTTTGAGACAAGGGGACTCTTTGTCCCCTTATCTCTTCACTATTTCCATGGAGATCCTGTGCTGCATGCTAAATAGAGCCTATTCCCACAAAGTTCTTCTTCCTCACCCGCAAACACACAGAATAGCTCTATCCCATTTATGTTTTGTCGATGCTCTGTTAATTTTCACCAAAGGGACTTGTGAAGCAGTGGAGATAACAAAGCAAATACTGGATTCTTTTTATGAGGTGTCTAGATTGAAATGTAAACCCTGCTAAAAGTGAGGTTTTTTGTGCAGGTGTGGACCTTGCAACTCAGTTTCAAATCTCCTAAAAAAATGGATTTGTGAGGTTGGGAAACTTCCAGTCAGATACCTTGGGATTCCCCTTGTGGCTGGAAAATTAAATTCTACTGATTGTGCTGCATTAGTAGACAAGATCACTGTTAGGATAAAAGGATGGCAGGTAAGTTCAGTTTTTCATTGTGTATAGATTCTAAATCAACCTGTACTTGTGGATTGGTTTTCTGTACTCGTGGATTGTTTACAAGTTAGAATGGCATTCTTAACCATTCTTTCTTAATGAATAAACACCTTATTCATCTGGAAAAAAATAATCTCAAAGCTTGAATCTCGACGAGAATTATATCTCAAATCATGTCAGAATTGGTGGTCGCCTGGTCGGAGCTTCAATCTCCTATCAGATCCAGATCCATTAAGGCCTCCACGAGTTCCACCGCATGCAGCCCGGACTCGGAGCATCTTCCTCGCTAAGTTCTCCTTCTCCAACGTCAATCTTCTCCTGCCATCGTCGTTTGTTTATTCCACTAGGTGGCGTCGGCTGCATGCGGTTGTCGGCGATGCGATTGAATATAAGAGCAAAAACCCACCTACTTGATCATCGGCTAGTGGCGATGGGGGCAAGATCGCGGCGTGAGGTGGCTGTCACCTGCCGATTGAGTTGAACAGAGAGTTCAAAGACTCTTTCTTAGTTGGTTAGGTTTAGTAATGGTAGTTGAGAATTGGGCTAAGGCAATAGGCATAGGGTTCAGTTGGATTTTGGCCTCAACTGGCAGTTGAGTGTGGGGTCTGTAGGAGAGAGTATTGGGCTTAGCCCAATAGCCCCACCCCATGTAATTATGTAACATAGTTCGGTTTACCCGTTTGGAATTTCGGTTGGTCGAGAGGACCCCAAGTTTCGAATTAAGCCTATTTCCTTTCCGAATTCCGTGCCGAATACCACACGATTCTGTTTTGGTTGGTTTGGGTTCGGTTCGGAGAGTTGAACTTGAACTGAATATCCACCCCTACACTAAAGCATATGCTCGGAGTAATGGGCCAGCTGGCTTCCATCTGTGCGGTACCTTATCCATTTCGCTCTCCTTCGCATTTATAATTGTTGTCATTCTTTTTTTCAACAACAAAAATTGGAATATTTTTTTCCTAAAAAACAAAATTAAAACTTATAAGAAAACTCAAATTAAAATATGTTTGAATGTTACTTAAATTGCAATTTTCGTGGGTGTCTTTGCTTAACTTAACATAAATAATAGTATTAAATGAGACTTGATATATGTTATTGAATCTATGTTAGATAGCATTTGATATAATTTATATATCTATGTACAATATAATTATTTTTTCATATTTTCTGTCTAAACAGATAAGCTCATTAACCCTCAACTTACTAGCTTAACCGGGCCAATGGGTTAAACTGGGTTGACAACATAGTTGCTATCTGAATATTTAAGGTTAATATATTTGTATGGCGCGAACTTTTCACATATTAAATATTCTGATCATTTTTTTGATCTTTAACTTTGTGGTCTAAACTATGCATCAAAGTTACGAAATTAACCAAACCCGAGATTTGACCGTTATCTTGGACAGTAAAACGTGTTGACTAATTACCAACACGCCACGTCAGCTTAGATCACTTAAATTTTTGTTTTTTCACCTATTATCATTTATCTTTTTTATTTTGAACAAAAAATAAAACCAACACATTTTCATATTAGGAAAGAACAGCAAAATGCATTCTTTGCCTACACTCTTGGGAAGATAAAATCACTACTCGACATAGACTATTTCTTCATGTTGTTGGAAAAAATTCGAATAGGCCTTATGAAGAAAATAGATCGAGTTAGAATTTTATTCCAATTCAAAATTTCGTTTATATTGTAATAAATTAATTTTATATCAATCTAAAACTATTCATTCTAACTTATTTCAATTATTGATAGCGCATCGAACAAAATGCATGGAATGGTAAGTCTTTTTAGAAATCCATAAAATCATCGACAAAGTGGTATATGTTTTTTTTTAATAAATTGATAAAGTCAAAATAAATGATAGTACTAACTTTGACCATCGAAATCAAACTAAATAAAAATCAGTTTATTATAGTTCAATGTAATGTATTTTAAGTAGATACTCATCACTACTCGCCGCTGATCGCAAACCAATTATCTAGTAAGCATATATAATAATCATCCTTGGTGATTTTAGTAATAAGATACATAAAATTAAGATGCATTAATTCGATAACTAAACTTATTTATGAGTAAACCTCAGATTTTTCGGATAAGATGGGATTAGATAGCGTCACAACCCCTAAGGGTGGTGTGAGTTTCGCTTCTCCCTTCCCAGCTGTCCATTCCCCTTCCTCGCAATCTGTCGATTGATAATCACCAGGAAAAAAGGAGAGGTGTCGCACTGGATCCTCTCCTCCACTCCACCTATGGTGTCACGCAATCTTCAATTTTGAAAGGGGAAAGATTTTCCGAGGCTAATCAGCCACCTTCCTCGCAAAAAAACCGTTCCCCTGGCCAGCCTCCCTCCCCCCTCCATCTGCTCCCAAAATCCCCCAAAAAAACCCTTGCACCGTCGTTGATAAACGTCGTCGCCGGTTTCCTTTCCCCTGCATCATCTCACATGTTTCTCCATTGGGTTCGAAGACTTGGTCGTTGAGAGAAGAGGTAATTCCGCTCTATTTTCTCCACTCCTTTCTTCTTGATTCTGGTAATTTCCCAATGGCCTTCCCTCCTTATCGATCGTCGTTTCCCAGCGGCCAACCTTGCTTCAATCCAACTCCTAACAATTCAATTTTTTTTTTGTTCTTTCAGTGCATCGCGGACATCCTTCCTCCGTCGACACTTTATATGGCGATTGAAAACATACCAGGTGAGGTTTCTTTATCCCATAATGTTTTGATTTCCGAATAAAATGTTGGAATTGAAACATACAGTCGTTTCTTTCTTGCGTAGCTTGTTTGTTGTTTGTATAATGCAGTGGTACTTTGAATTGGTATCGTTGTGGTAGTGTTATTGATACCAGTTCTAGTAGTGGTGGTAGAATATTTTGTAGTGGTACATGTACACGTACCACTAGTGATACGTGTACGAGTAACACTAGTGGTACATGTACCAGTACCACTAGTGATTCGTGTACTAGTAATACTAGTGGTACTTGTACAAGTACCACTACTGATATGTGTACCACTAGTGATACGTGTACCACTAACACTAGTTGAACATGTATCACTTTTGAATGTTTCATAGTGTTTGTATTGTAAGTTTTAATAAAATATGTCTAACAATGTAGTTTTTTTATTTTGATACCAGGAATGGCGAGAACAAAGACAACATGCTACATGTCGACGAAAAAAACAACCGGAAGAAAAAGAACCTGCTGGAAAACAGCCTGCTACCTATGAATCTCGACAGGTTGTCATCCGTGAAGGGGAGTCATATGACTCTAATTTGGGCCCTAGTAAGAAATGGCCACGAGATGGGTTAATGAAGTGTCCCTGCGAGAAGAATAAGAAGAAGAAACAGAAAGTATGAACAAGTGCAAGCCAGTTCGGGAAGAAGTGCTAGTTTGGGAAGTAGTGTTTCTTTTCTAGGGTTCTACGAGTATGCTATTGGTTTATGTATGTTAGTGTGTGGTATGTGATCTACGATTGACCCTCTCCCAATAACTCGAGTTATAAGGAGCAACTGGTTCATGACATAATATAAGAGCCTTATATGAGCGAGAGGTCTTGTGTTCGAATCTTGGTAACCCCCATTTGTTAAGCACATGGTATGTGGACCTGTGCAAACTTCAAGCCCTTGTGAGTGGCTTTCGTTTGAGGGGGCATGTTAGTGTGTGGTATATGATCTACGATTGACCCTCTCCCAACAACTCTAATTATTGGGAGCAACTGGTTCATGACAGTATGTACAAAGTTTGAGCATTTGTTGGCTTTTAGTTCTCGTGTGAAGCATTTGTTGAGCATTTTTTTAATGTGAACCATTGTGTTGAAGAAAAAGCCTAATGTTGGTGAAGCACTTAATATCGTTTTGTGTTACAGTAGTAATTTTCTTGTTTTTCTAATTACACATGGATTAGTAGTGGTACATGTACGAGTAACTAGTACTGGTAAGTACCACTGGCACATGTAATAGTAACTAGTATTGGTAAGTACCAGAAACCACTAGTGGTACCAGCACCAGAAACTAGTGGTACCAGTACCGGACTTAATATTTTCGTTACAAGTAAGTACTAGTGGTACCTGTAACAGTAATTAGTAGTGGTACTTATATCATTAATAGTTACTGGTACATGTACCTTTACAGGAGAACACTTTAAAAGGGTTATCTATGTGTTAGACAACAATAGTATAAAGACAACAAAACCTCATTAAAATAACGTAATATCTTCCACAAGGAGATCTGAAGTACATAACTAAACACATAACACCTCAAGTTCCCATGTTTAGGTTTCGAAAACCTATACTGGGCTATCACAACATAAGCACATCAACAAGTTCAAAACATAGCTTACTAAGCAAGATTGTTAACCTGTAAAGTAGGTTGCTACTAACACAAGATTATATCAATCTACAAAATGGTTGCCACAACATCGTCAAGATTCATATCTCTATACAAATATCTACCATCAAAACTCATTATGTTAACACAGCCTAAATTCAAGTGCATTACATAGCTAGCCACCATGCTTCTCGATCGGTTAGTAGGATTTCTAGAGCAACTTCTGTGCGAGCTACAAGGAAATATTGGCCATAACTTGATCCACACACCATTAAAACTTTCTCCAAAATCATTACTTGGCCAACAAGATAAAAACTCCACATATTTTCAAAAATCTCTTAAACCGTAAAATTTTCAACATTCCTTCAAATACTCAAAATCATGCTTAACCATATGCAACTGACTATGCAACACATCATCACCTTTGGTCCCAATCCTGGAAAGTTTAGTGCAAGTACAGGTATGGAGTACTCTCTCCCCTTTCGAGGGTGATCAATCCTCAAGGGTGAAAGTAACATACCCATAATGCAGAAAACAAACCAGCTCTGATACCAAATTGTAACACCCTGCCCTATACGTTTTGCCTGATCATATTGTTCATACATTTACAGCGGAATTAATCTCGGGTGTTACATTAATTATCAAAATTTACCCAAATAAAATTTCGACATGAATTACTCGCGTAATGGGCTAACAGTTCTTCCATCTGATCCTGCAAAATAATTCATCTAAATCCATGCGTTCATAGACAAACATATACACTCACTGCCATATGCATTGGCTTTTCATAGCCATAGTCACAGTTTCATGTTACACAACTGCATACTATACTGATACATGCCATAATCGTCACAACTTACATAATTACACAAATATACACATATCATCAACTTTCCACACCTGTGGATATCTCACACTACATCAGAAGCTAGTATGCACATGAAAAACGCTCTCAAAACATTTTACGAAAAGGTGTGGATCACTGGCCAAAATCCCGAGTAGTAGTCCAAGCACAAAATAGTTGAAGACAATACCTCATCTTGTCTTCAACTCTTGCTCAACTCCCACCTATACACCTATCTACTGCTGCTGCTGATGATCTGCTTACACATAGCATAAGCAGAGAAGAAGAATAAAAGAGGGTCAGCTCATAGCTGAGTGAGATAATCATAGCATCGTGAGTTCATAACAGAGCATACCCCTACCATACATCTAACAAACAAGCCAAAGCACTAGGATCAGACCTCAGGCATCCGACATCCCAATAGGCAAAAGACTCAACCACCTTGACTTATGCATATGCGTCTTATCATGTTTTACTTATAGGCGCCTGGCTACTCCCATGCTAATTACTCTCCCGGGAATACGGACCAAACATCTCGTGGATGTGGTCATATCGGACCCACCACTGCCAGTGTAGTCATATCGGACCTGACACCACGATGGGTGTGGTCATATCGGACTCAACACCACTCTGGGTGTGGTCATATCGGACTCAACACCACTCTGGGTGTGGTCATATCTCATAATGAATCAACGGTCAACACCACATCAGGGGTGTGACATAACATATCATAACGGAGTAATAACATGGGGAGCCCTAATTACTATGTAATTGACCATGAGACCAAATCACTCTTATTTGGTATCCTTATACATGATTCATATCTCATCTTGCTTAATCATAATTCATTACTTGCACATGTACTTGATCTGGCCACAGTTGGCTCAACATAGGTAAATCAGGAGTCGTATAATTGCACTTCCTCGGGATAAACCCTCGTGCAAGTCATCCTCCTTAAACATCATAATATCACCAGAGAATATATATTTTCCCACATGTGCATCCAAATACAACAATCATGAACAATCATACCCTATCACCTTTTCGAACCATCATAAGGCATATCAACAGTCAAGCCCACAATTTGCAACATATACAAAATCATCAGCATAAACAAGGTCCATCTCGATTGGGGCAAGTCAATAATATCATACAGTAGTCCAGGGTTCATCATATAGCACAAAAGTTCATACACCCCTAATCATGCCATTCTAGTTCACCTAGGTCAATTCTAAGCATCAATATAATAATCGTGATACGACAAACCCGGTATGCCGTGCTAATCCCTCACCAGTTCTGGTTGTTCAAACACCGGTTCTAGCCTCCCGTACTAAAACGTCAATTTCACGAACGAACCCCGAATTAAAATCCGAGACTGTCCTAATATCCCCTGCAGTATCCCTGTCAATATTAGTTCTGGGCTCCGGGTCAAATTCTTGATAAAAACACATCAAACCCTGGCCGGAGCTAAATTCAGTGATTAGGACCCCGACCTAAATAATTGCCGAAATTCAGGGATTAGAACTAGAGGATTGATTACCTCGCTGCAGGAAGCTCGTATATGAAATTTGGGCTCAATCCGGCTTCCGGATACTCCGAAACCCTAATTTGGCTTATCGGGAATTCAAGAAATTCCTGAACCAAAAACTCGTTTTAAAGCTCTAAATCGATAAATCACGATGAATGGATGGATTAGGCATTACTTACGGGATTTTTGGATCACTAGAGCTCAAGATGGGAGCTTTTGAAATTTCTCCCGAGCTCCCCTGCGCGCGGCTCTGGTCGCTCTGCTTCTTCTCTCGGTTGGAAATGGGACAGGATGATGAGAATAAAAATGGACGGGGGATTATTTATATGCGGCCCAGCCGCTTAGTGTAATTATATATATAATATGTATTATATATATAATTATATATAATATATTATATATATAATTAATACGTATACTTATCCGATCGATCGATAATCCAATTTTCGTCGAAATAGTGTCGAAATGCTCGATTTTAAATCGCGAACTTTCTAGCGATCGAAATATGGGTTTTGCCGGAACGGGATGTTACAATTTTGGACCCTATAGAAGCATGGTCATCAATGGGTTCCGGAATTGTTAATGGGTCTTAATCCATGTTTTCAGCCTATTTTTGTGCTCCTACGAAAAAGAGAGTATTTGGTTAACAAGCTAAACGAAGACAGATAAAATCCTAGATCAATTTTAAGACTACATAAACTTTACTGGTACTCAAATCTATTAGTAGCTGGAACTGGTAGTACAAGTACCAGTGACTACCAAAAAGTACCAAAGATTAGACAAACTTAATTTGATGATGTCATCGGCTTCTAGTTTGAGCTTTTCCAAAGTAGAAGTCAATAGCTCATAGGCTTCATCATTTGCAGCAAGCCTGGTAGCTAATATATTCATAGTCCCATTGATGACCACTGGAAATACACTACCACTAGGCCACTACCACTACATGACTACCACTAGCAAGTACCATTTTGTCTTAGCATTAGTTGTACCATTAACATAAATATACCAGTTCAACGGAAGACATGACTGCACTAGTTAACCCTACCGAGAATGTTGCCGGCGGTGATATTATTCTTGCCATCATCATTGTATTCAACGGGTTCGATTGCCTGCAGTTCAAAATAGTGATTGCTCTCCACATTGACGTTGTCCGTCTTTTCGTGGTTCTCCAGAAACTCTACGTTGAGCAAGTTCTCCACATCGGAAATGCCGACATCACCTGCCATGAAAACATCACCACCATTGTCCGCCTCTTCAGCTACCGCCATCGTCGTTGTGGATAATGTAGTCGTCCATTGTATACCGGCAGCAACGTCAAGATAGTATCAGGGAAGTGACGCGGGCGGTTATGGAAAGGGAAGAATCCAGGAAAGGAAGAGGAATAAACATGGGAGGCGGTTATAGTTAGTAGCAATCCATCCCACAAATCAAGCTCGGTAATATTTTACTCATGCATTTATTTTTATTTTCAAAATTAATCCATTAAACTAGTTACACAAAAGCCCTTGATATTTTCTAAACCATCAGATGTAGAAGGGGGATCTACGGCTGGGAAGGTGGAAGCGAAATTCACAACCCCTGTAAGGGAAGTGACGCTATCCCATCCCGGATGGGATAACCTCACAACCAATTAAAGGGA